ACTTCATTAATAAGCGCTCACTAGCTATATTTAGTGCGGATAGGTCTTCATAGATGTTTCCCAAACAAATATGTAGTTGGTCTGGATGAAATGAGTAAACCAGTTTGACATCATCTGCAAACAGAAATGGATGTCCATGTTTGATCGGGTCACATATTGTTTACATAGATTAAGAAAAGTAGCGGTCCGAGTACACTTCCCTGGAAGACACCGCTGGTTATTGGCTTCGGTGTAGAATGTTGCTGACCGATTTTAACGACCTGAGTTCGACCGTTTAGGTATGAGTCGAACCAGTTAAGCAGCGGATTTCCAATTCCATATGACTCTAGAGCAGACAGCAGTGGCTGGTGTGGCATGCGGTCGAACACCTTTTGCATGTCCAACAGAATTATAATAATTGCCATTCCTCTGTCAATCATAGTCGTGATATGATCGAGAAATTGTAGCTGGCATGTAACGCAGGAGCGTTTTGAGAGAAAGCCGTGCTGTGAAGGGTTGATCAGATCCAGTCTTGTAAGATATTGGACGATGTTCTTCTTGACTATTCGCTCTAGGGCTCTGGAAGCAGCAGAGGTGTGATTTATTGGGCGGTAGCTTGACATTTGATTTCTCGGTCCACCCTTGTGCTTAGGCATTAGAATAGATTGCTTCCATTGTGCTGGAAAGCATCCGGTAGTGAGTGAAAGTGTGAAAATGTTTAGTAACAATAGTGCGAGGTTTTTTCCTCCGAGTTTTATAACAGTTGGGGAGATGACATCTGGACCTGGATGAGTTGATGGTTTTATGGCTGCGATGGCACTTTGCACCTCTCTTAACGTCACAGGAATATTGCAGTATAGTTCGGTCGTTCTTCTTGGAAGTGGAGGAAGAAGTGGCTGAATGTTGGGGACAAAAGAGGTGGCAAAACTAGAGTTCATGGCCTCGCATATACAGGAGATGTCGGGCGTTATTGAACCATCCTCTAGAGCCAACATTTCAATTTCCTGAAGTGGTTTAGGGTTTCTTCGTTTGAGTAGTTTCATCAATGCACGCACTTTCTCAGGATTTCTGAGTACCCGGCTTTCTTCTTTGGTTTTGACCGTTAGGGTTAGACGTTGTAAATATACTAAGTTCTGGTGTATTTGTAGCAATGTTGCGAAGCTGTTGTTCCTGCTGTATAGCGATTTGAGTTTCTTTAGTTTTCTTTTGGCTTTGGACAGAAGCTTCAGTTCACCCCTATGTTCATGGGTATTTCTCCTTACAGTAGGTGCTAGTAGATCCACAACAAGAGCAATGTTGTTTATAAACTCATTTGTAGCCACAGTGCTTAGGCATTATAATGGATTGCTTCCATTGAGCTGGAAAGCATCCGGTAGTGAGTGAAAACGTGAAAATGTTTAGTAACAATAGTGCGAGGTTTTTTCCTCCGAGTTTTATAACCTCGCAGTCGCTCAACATATCCAGTGGGACCAGTAGTTTCTGTCCTCGTGTTAATGATGCTCGGTCATTGCTCTCCGCCTAAAACTTTCGCTACAGTATGTAAGCCGCAGTTTAATACGGTTCCTGCCCGTCGACATAACATCGAAGCAGCCGACGTGGAAAGTTGCAAGTTCACAATGGATACCACCCAATCTAGAATAGTTTAGACATCCGACGAACAGTTTTGCAGTTGCAACAGACACCTTTCAGTTACTGTAGCGACTACCTGCTAGCACGCGATGTGCAAGGAAGTTGACGAGAGCTAGGTAAACAAAGTAGCGCGGTTCCCTGTTGGGTGCTTCCCAGTATGTGTTGACACATTGGCAGACGGGAATGCAACACTGCGATAGAAGCGTAGCAGCACACTGCAGGGACACATCCATGGATGCAAGGCAGGTGCATTGAAGCGACTGTTTGATCAGACACTTGACGACTGGAGTAGTAAGACGGGAAAATTTCCACACACCGAGAGGAAACCGCGTTACCAGAGCGCACCAGCGGAACAGAGGACCAAATCTGTCACCTAGCCCTGATGCGTTGCAATGTGCTGCGGTCAAAATTCCAAGCAGAGCTGTTTATCGGTGTAGCAAGCTTCCCTGCAGCGATGCGAACTGTTGTCTGCGCCTCCAGGATTTCATATCATTTCAGCATTGTGTGTCCGCTTTTTGCTAACCGGTGACAAATTCGGGAGCTAAAGTTACTTCGAAGTGCACTTGCCAACCGACCACTAAGATTCTTAAAGCAATTATGCATAACTCGCTTAATTATTCATGTGTGTTAATGATTTTCTAGTGCCAGATAACCTAATAGCATCGCTCAGTCCCCCACCTTCTAGCAGTCACATAGAGTCACTACAACCTAGTCAGAAACAGATCCAATGAAAAGTGGGATACAAAACCAAGCGCTATGGGTGTGTCTGTATGTTGCGAGCGATTTTGCCTGGAACTATTTTCGAAAGTGCACCACCACCTCAAGAGCGGTATAAAAACTGACCTATCCATCCCGACGTTCCAGCTGGGATTAGAAATTCCGGTTCGGAGTGGTGCCTTCCGATCTAGTTACGATTGTTTAAACTGTGCGTTACCCGCATCTTCGGTAACAGCGTGCATCGGTTGATAAGGGACGAAAAATAACGAAAAATTGAGTAAAGTGAATGTGTTTATGATAGCTGAATTGTAACTAGCCGAGGAATTATGGATAGCAAGTACAGGTACACACACACACACACACACACACGCACATACCGGTCACTTCAAATGACTCAGTAATAAGTTCTCGGTGTTGGTAAACGGTGCCGGTGAAGCCCTTTTGGTAGGCAGGAAAGTTGTGTGCCGACTCTCTAAATCCCTGGGTACCATTCCCTGCTGTTTTAATGCGTCCTGACAAATTCGAATAAAACCAACCCGGCTTTGTAGTGCGGTTTTGAGCCAAGTACAACTGAATTTTGTACGCTTTATACGCCGGACTGACCAAAGCTCATTACGAAACGAATCGCGTTCTGTATAAACACTGAGTGTTTTCAATCAATCAGAGAAATGTTGTGTTCAGCTGAGTAATATATTATACTACCATTTGCTACTGTGATTGTACTGGATGCGAATTCCTACGATCAGTTATAACGGGCAATTTCCTCTTGTTGGTATCATATCAAATTAGCTACGCCGTCACTCGGATACTCATCTGCGTGTGCGATGACGACAGTGATGAGGGTGAGTTTGAAAGCCCCCGGCTTTGTGTACTGATAGGCGATTCAAGATCGCTATAAATTATCTACGAAGAGACTGTGGACGTCAGGATAAGATCAATTTAACTCTTTAGGGATTCTTCGTAATAATCCTAACGAACATCGAGAAACCCACCAGTGAGGAAAACAGAAGGTAGATGCAATTGGCTTCGTTTTATTACGGGAAAAATAGGAAACCACAGCCAATGTGATGAACTATGTCAAGTTTTCATTAACTGTGTTAATTAAATGCCCTTTTGAATGAGTTTCAAACTAACAGTAACACCTGGCTAAAACAGTGTTTAGCATTTACAAGAAAATCCATGGCGTACATTACAGTTGGGAATCAGACATGCACAAATTAAGGTACACGGTGAGTCCCTTGTTAGATAACCATCCAACCAAATGTTTCACTGACACTCACTGAGACATTTGGACTGGTATGCAACTGCATATGGTGTCAGTGACCGCCTGATTAACGTGATCCAGAGCACCAGACTAGTGCTGCCACACCAACACGTCATCAAGCTTCAGCTGAAAGAAGCAACTCGTCAGACTAATAGGGATATCATGTGGGTGTGTAAATTAAATTTGACCTTGAAGCACCTCTATGGAAACTACACTCACATAGTGTTTATCGAAGCAGTTTGGTTACAGTGAATGATGTGCTGAAGTCATATGGACTGGGAAACTTTTACTCAGGGTACCGCTGATTCTGTAACACGTCAACAGCAGTGATCCGATAAACACCCTTATCTACATCACATGTGTCAAATCTATGGGCCTTAAGGGGCAAAACTCAGGTTATTCGCGATATTCTTACTTAAACTCTGTTTACTTCAGTAACTGAAGCTGTGCGCGAAGCGTCATGATCCTAGTTTAGCACCGTGATGTTCCTTCGTCTTTCTTTCCTCCACCAGACGGATCAAGATGCAAACATCTGTGTCGTCACTTGCTTCCAGTGAGCCCCTGAAGAGGCCTTGAGAAAAGAAACTTATGTGAGGACCGACTGATAATTAGAAGCTGGAAGGATTCACCTGAGATTTTGAACCAGCGTATAGCCAAAAATGAAGCGGCGATTCGGTTTACTGAAACGCAGTTGAGAACCGAGCGAAAATGCGTCTGATATGAAAACCCATTACTGAATTTCGAAATACTGAAGCGAGTTAGGCAATCACCCTAACTCAATGTACAAGCGATGGAACAAACTAAATAGGCACCAGGTATTCCTCAAGATACGGGGTGATTCGTTTCTATAGTGATATCAACAATATCCTTGATAGGTTTTTAACAAAATGCTTCGTAAAATGTGCCAAGATTGGTGCCCGAGCGCTGTTTGGTGTGAGGCTGGTTCCTCAACTGTGACATCTGAAACGTGTGGCTTGGGACACATCTACATGCATAATCAGAAAGGTCACAGGGATCAGTGATTCCTAGAGGGCAGACTGGTTAATAGATGACGTACAAGAACGTGGGGTCATGACTATCATACTGGTGCAGAAGGTTAGTGATAAGGGAGTAAACGCATGCGGATCGAAGGAAGTATGGTGAGGAAGATGGACAGCGAGAGTGAATTAAGACTACATGCTAGTGAGTTACACACTACGAACACTTGTAGCAGTGTCTCGCATTCATCCGTAGCCCTGGCGTAGCCAAGCTGAATGCAATACACTTAAGCAAGAAACACCGGATCATAGGGTTTTAAGTGGGATGGGATTCTAATTTGGACATCCCTTTGAGTGTAACTAGCTGATCCATTCATTGGAGATCACATACTGACTCATATAAGCGTGTACATTTTGTGAGAGAACAGACTCACTCCATGAAGCTTCTGATATAACCCACACGCGTTGCACACCGGTTGACCGTCCGCGTTTCGTCGCCACAGCGTAGTCTGGGTTGTTGCACAGTTTGTGCAAACCAGACCATTTCTCCGGGCAACCTGTAGGCAAGTGCAGGGATAGGTTTAAGCAACATCTCATGTCAATCACCTAGCAAACACGGTACAAAATCCATGAAATGCATCTCCAAGTCGATGGGGACACAATTCAATGACCATTGTGTCGCCGCTGCTTTTTCAGTTGATGGGATGGGTGAAAAGGGGACATTGATTTGTCCTAATCTGGTGCAGACCACCCATCTGTCTCACCGAAAGTGGCTTCCCCGTGGGATCATAGGAGAGAGAGAGAGAGAGAGAGATGGTTCACATGTGGGCACTGTGGACAGGGCCAGCACGTGTCGTGTGGTGGTTGCGTGCGAGCCTGTGAACCACACCGGACGGATAAGTGGGACCAGCTTCGTTCGCCGGCTGCGTCCACGTGTGCCATAGAATCAGGTGCGCACTTACAGCTTGGCTATTGCCACCGCCGCTGCCAGGCGCGTGTGCACACACACACACACACACATACGCACACACTCAAGTAAAAATTGACAGTTGTTCCACTTTCAATATCAGTCACAATGGTATAGTCTAAGCAGTCAAATGTACTGCGATGCGGATGATTAATTAGTGGTTTCACTACAAAGTGAACATCAGCGGTAATGTCGATAGATTCGCTCGCGGTTATGGCGATAAAAGAACCAAAATTGTTGCTGTTATCCATCCGTCAGCCGATGGCTGTGGCCAACATTACCGTAAAATGTTGAACTGGCCGCATGTCTTCCATTCATTAATTGGCCTACGATATCCAACGCCAGATATGTACTTTACTAGATAGCCGCGTGGTTACGTACACGATGTTTTCCGACATTACTACAACCTAACAAACGGTGAACGCGCAAAGCAACAGTGCACACGCCGCATAAATCTGTATTCGATAATCCTACGTTCCATCTAAATTACTCCAAATTTAATCTAATAATAACAAGTAACATGAGCAATACAATCATGGATTTCTCTTATCTTTCCAATAATCAGACATAAAACCGTTCATGAATTAACTGCGTGAATTCACGTAGAAAGTGGGAACTGTTTGTTTCCACTGCATTCTCCTGACGGTTTGGTTTATCTGTTGAAAGTTCATTTAGCCCCCATACGAAGCCTTGTGTCGGCACTGTCTCTCAATTCGACTGTTAGTATCCCTCGTTGAGTCCAACCACATTTAATCCTTCTGCAAGCCCATGTCGGCACGAAGCTAACAGTCCACTCGATCAAGCCGCAAGGAACTACTTGCACACCAATCGGGGTAATCTCCACTGCAGAATCATGCGTTGTCACCGCCCAAACACAGTACTTAGCAAATGTATATTCCATTCACCCCACTTGCCTTCTAACATACGGGGATAATGCACCCCAAGCTGGCGCCGGCCAGTGGCCGAGTGGTCTGCGTGTGCCTGGTTTGCAACCATGTCACCGGTTCGTATCCGCGTGGACGTGGGCGTCATCGCGGTATGCTCATTTCACGTGATGGTGGTTAAGCGGAAGCGAAGCGCCGTTACGGCGTACAGCTGACATGTTATTATTAGTAGTAGTATTAGTATTGCGCTCTTGCTGTTTTAGGTCACCACGACCAGCATTGGGAGTGAGGCAGCAACCTGAAAACCACGAGGAATAGTCGAATCTACAGCGTATACGACAACCGTTTACTGAGAAGTTTTGGGCGATTCTGTTCCCATCCCAGCGCAGCGCAACGACTGTTACCTGTTAATTGGTAGTGAATTCCTTTTTTCACCAAGCGCTGGATATAGAGACGCAATTGAACTACCTGCTTAATCACCACATGATTTGGCGGAAGAGTGCTGACTGTTGGCAGTTTAGATCTGTTATCAGCAGTGATTCTGTCCCCCCGCCTCCATCAACTTGCGACAGCTGATATGAATTGCATACTTGAGGATTCTGTGCCTCTACGGGCAAGCTTCAACACCAAGTGGGGGAACGATGATGATCATCAAAGAGACGCTAGCTCGCAAAATGCGCCCCCTAGTGTATACATACTGAAGTATTACCTGTGATTGAGTATTGTGTCCTGGTCCTGAACGATAGTTCATGTCAACGATATCCAGAATAGGGTCGTTCAACCAACAAGATCCTTGGGAAGAAATTCTATATCCCAGTGTTAACGTTGGTGCAGTCTTGGAGAATATCAACTCCAACGAAACGTCACCCGCATAGTTAAATCTGTGCTGCATAGTACATTCGTGTGATAATCCGTGATCGTAAAAGTGGTTACCTACATACATACACCGGTGTTTCATACGGAAGGCGACCTAAAATAGCGCTCAAGGCACCAATCCTCAAAGGCAGTCGAGCTGATCCGCGTCAGTCTAGGAAGGTCTTACGTCTTTGAGTTACATTTTAACCAGTAACCTTAGTAAGAATTAAACAAGCCGATTCAGATATAACTAAAGCACGTTCCGCTTTGCTAGCGGCCGCTGATCACGACACTGAAAGTGGTTACAATGGCGGAGAAAGAGATTTCATCCATCCGAAGGAAATTCAAGTTCCCTGTTGCGATAAAAAAGATAGTAGAGCTGGCAGTTGGACTGTTCACTGAGCTTGGCAATTTGGGTGCAAACGTTTCGTCACCAATCGAGTTGACATCATCAGTGCGTAGTTGAGTGGCGTGCAGTAGCGTAGAATAGCGTAGAGGAGCCTCGGTGAGAGTGCACTCTCACGCTAACAGTTCAACAACCATCTGAACAACCTGAGCTACCAGTCTTCAATTCTACAGCCAGATAGTAGAGCTCTTGTACCTTGGATCGCTATAAGGACAACTAGGATATGTGGATTTTCTGTGGGTAAACAGTTACCGTCATCTTGTAATCGTACAAAAGGCAGACGAAATAAGCTGAGTGGCTATCCACTTAACAAGGCCTCCCTGTGTCCTACCCCACCGCGCGATGCTCTTTGACTCTGCCCCACCGACCAATCGAGTTAGCTGGAAGAACATCGAGTGAGCGCGCAGGAGTTGGACGTGTGCTCTTCCCACTGAGCCGCCCAATCAACAGTTAGTATTGGTGTGGGAACTTGGTTTCAGGGTTGTGAGTCGCACTGAAAGTGCGGAACGAACGTGACGCACGTGGTCATCATGACTCCGATACCGCTATCACATGGACGTTGGTTAACGGAAATAATGAGCAATTCAGCGTATGGCGACAACAATATTTGTTTCCGATGCTAACAAACTAGTCAACAACTTCACGAAGTATTGATGCGTCAGAATTCAAGGTGACATTCAGAATGGATGAATGAATGGTTGCTGTATACTTGAAGTAACAGGGATTATAAAGCTACTACTCTTAACAAACAATCATTTTCACTTAGCGAGTGGTGTTCAGAATCACCTAAAAACCGATGTCACATTCTGTCGGTAACATAGGCAACATAGGTAACATAGACAATGGAGTACTGCAGAATCGAGGCTTCTAGCCCAGACTTTTCACCTTTACAATGACTGAGATTGCCTCGGAGGGTTCAATTGGCTTCTCAGATCCGGATGAAAGAGGATGGATTTACTCGTAACGTGTTGAATCAGATAGCGCATGACCAAGCAGCGTTGGATGTGCTCAAAATGGATTTCTCACGCAGTTGTAGGCGGATATTTTGTTGTGAGAGAAAGGCTCGGTTGATAAGTCACAGTGTATATCGGTAATGCTTTACTAGCTGCAACGTTATTCTAGAATCGCACGCCCTTGTCGCCAGAATATGTCACAGACAGTGAAATCGATTTTACCCAAACTTGCTAACCTGATCCCCCAAGTTGGGTCGTTTGTAACAATGTTTACGTGACTGCACCGAACAATGCAGTCTTTACGACTAGGTGTATGTGTGTGTGTGGGGGGGTGCTTGCGGAGTGAAAGCTTTCATGCGTCACACGGTGCTCCACAGTTTAATCGCACCTATGTTTAGAATATCAGACTCTTCCAACATATTTTTGCCTCCAGACTGTGATGGTGTAGCGCGGTGTGGGAGAAAGCCAAGGGAGGAGATGCGGGTTCAGCATCACCCTGTCCCCACCCTGTCCAACCATCCACTTTCCATTCCCTGTGTTTGGCTTGTGACCAAAGGAACTCACTGACGATCTGGTGACGAACGTTAACCGTTGAAATGCAGTTGTCAAAATGCCATTAACACGGCCGATTGGCAGTCACCAGAGCGACCGAGGGACCAACGCTAGGTCAACGGCACCATGTAATCACACACACACACACACACACACACACACACACACACACACACACACACACGTGTACATGTACACGTGCGTGTAAATCCACACCCGTCTTATCCTCGGTCAGTAGGGAGCAGTTTAGACGCTTTTGCACTGCGAACCTATGGATACTTTCATTTACCGTTTCTCGGTATATACAACCTCACTCGCGCAGCCCATGTGTCACCGTCCCCATTCGCAAGCAAGGGGGTCAGATAGCGTTGCGAACCGATCGCTTCAATAATGCACACACATACGCACATACACACGCATGTGTGTGTGTATGCACTAGTCGCATACAGTCACATGGTGACTCGACGCTGTGGTCTGCTTTGTAATTGCCAGTGTCGCAAACCTGGCGTGCACGTCGCTTAGATGTTCGGAGGTCCTTAAGGGGACGGTGCACGGGGCTTGCTTGCCAGGAATACTAACCGACAGAGCGGCTTTGTGTGACAATTTAACGCATGACGCAAACGGGGTTCTAAGGCAACAATTCGCAGACAATTGCTGGCGTACACCGTGCAGCGATGACACCGGAAGAGTCCCCCGAGCTCTATTGCACACAGATCTGAGTCACCACATATAACAATATTGTTTAGGGGTTTTGGACACTGCCCAAGGAGCCCAGAACCTAGTGGGAAATGAACCAGTTTTCAGCCTCCAAGTCCTGCATCCTAATTGAAGTGTCCTAGCTGGAACGGGACAAGTGGTAAGGGGGGCGACGAAGCAAACAATAGCACCAGCGATGCATCGGTAAATTTACAGTGTTTTCGGTCCTCAGATGACCATGACTTTTCCAGCAGACGCCGGCATCATCCTGCATTTACTCTCATGCAATTTCAAAGGCGTTGCCATGTGTGCCACTTATAGCTTCCCGGTAGATAAGCGAAAGCAAGTCACTGATGGTTCCTGCCACCTTGCTTCTCTGTCTAGGTATCCTACACCCCTCTCTAATGTTGACATGGATCTTTCTTCTGTACTTCTCAGTGCAATTGATGACAATGGTTACTCCCAACTGAAGCTCTGCCAATGTTGAAGAGATGAGCACCGGAATCCCTCCACTTGGCTACTGTTGTATACCTTCTCTATCAACTGAACCGATGGCGCTTTCAAATTCCTCCTCTAAATGCTGCAGTCTACTGAGTGACCAAATCAAAATAAGACAATATCACCCCATTCTGTGTGCTCATCTGTTGCAAAATGAGCTTATTAGAGATTGGTCACTCAACGAACAGCACTTAAATTTTAGAAGTGTTTGTGCCCGTTGGATTCAACTTGAAAGTGTTATGGACCATCTTGGAAAATCTATGGAGAAACATAATTTCCTTGGGGAGCAATTTGAAATCGCTAGGGATACTTTTGCCTGAGAAAAAGTATAGTGTACGGAATGTCACAGATCTATTTCAAAACAAGTACATGCAACTTAAGTTCTGGTAGAAGATCCTTAACAAACGTACCGGTCGGCGGCCAGTAAATCCGTTTGCCAGGGTTGGCCGCAAGCAGCGTCGATAAGCAAGGGAAGTAAGTAGGACAGATGAATTGGTTTGGGTTGGTTTGGTCCTTGACACATTGGTAGCAGGCTGTGCTGGAGACGTACTCACATGATGAGCAGTTTTTTCGGAATCCCGTTCCTGATTCAGATGGCTCACTGCGTGACCAGTGTCTGTGTGATATCCATCTGAATGACACTCAATGCAAAGAAAATTCCCCGTCCCATCGGATTTCCATACGGAAGTCGTCAGTCTTCCACATTTGACACATTCTCGCTGGCAAAGATGGGGATGAGGCGGGTTTGAGGCGTCAAATGAGAGCCAATTCGGTGCTGTGAAATTGTATTGGGAGATGGGGGGAGGTGGAGTAGGGAACAAGAAAGGGATTTCGGTAATCGAAACTTGTAGGCTTGAGAAGATAAACTGGCTGTGAATATGATGAGTATATATATATATATATATATATATATATATATATATATATATATATATATATATATATATATATATATATATTTGTAAAGGTCTACGAATAGACATAAAGCCATCAGAAAACATGGGATTCAAATAAAGGTACAGAAATAGTAAAAGAAAACACATCACACTTCAAAATCCATGGTTTCGTCAGATGGCGAGATATACTAACCGGTTGCCCAAGCCGAAGTAGGGTGTTGACTTAGGGGACACCACCCCGAGCCTTTGGCTGAATAGCCTGCCAGCAAGGCAGCGGAGCGAATTCAGGGAATCGCGCCCATTGGGAGCCGGTGACTGATTGCCCCGTTCATACGCCTTTCGTTTGTTCCATTGCCAAATAGGGGCCCAATGCTCCCCAGAATTACAAATTCTAGGTTGATGAGTAGGAAGATAAGAGTCGAGGCACACACACCTGTCCCGATTCGCGATAATGGTGATTGCTGGATAAATATCTCAAGGCGATGCAAGTCAAAACAGGTGACAGATTAGAAAATGTATATGGGAAACGGATGACGATGTCAAGTGATCAGCTGAAGTATCCGTCCGCATAGTATCCTTTTTCGTTTTATTTGAACTCGTGATTTTTTCAACATCAAGCATGTGGCTCTATGTGATAGCGGAATAGAAAACACGAAGTTGACACCAGAAGAGAAAGCCAATTAATTCTCTCTAGCTTCCCATCATTCCAGTATTGCTTCTTCTCCAGCCCGATTATACCAATCCTGAAGTTCCACCTTAAATGGGCTATAAAAACAGACACCAGCTGAGTCCATTTAATTTCTATCAACACGTTTTTAAGAACTCAAGGTTGCGAAGAGATCTCTTTTTGATACTTCTCATCAGGTAGGTACAATTATAAGGAATACAAAAGCAACACAACGCAGTACTTCAGCGAAGTCCGGACTAAGAATAGGTGAGCCAGAAGCTGTTGTGTCGCCGCTGACGCCTTCACCCCATGACCGCAAGAAGAAGTCCAAGACCTGTATACATGAAACCACAGCTGTTTATATAGTTTTGAGGGCAAAATGAAGGGAAGCTACTAGAGTACACTTGAGCCAACCAACAGAAGGAAAAACGTCCAATGCAACGGCAAATAAGCAACCGTGTACTCAAGAGCGAATCGCATATGTCCTTAAAAATAGCATCATGGGATTCCAAGCGTAAAGCGAACGTTTATTTACAGTGACGGGCACTGGCAAATCAGAATGACGAAATGAAACGTTCAAACAAAAGTCACGAAACGAACGAAAATAAGGAATGTAGACCCAAAAATTGAAAACTAGTACAATAATCGTGTGACAACTAAATATTCCTTTAACATAACCAAGTAGACCAGTGATGAGAAGAAAAAACCGATGGAATGTGTTCTTGCAATTGGCGCTGCTGAGAAGGACATGACGATGAGCGTCCATTAACAATGACGTGGATGTACCAATCGGGCAAACCCAGTAGAGCGTTTAAACAACAGTCAAGAAATAGAAAATAGGAAGAGTAAAGAATAGCCATCAAGCTCGTTCACAATAATTGAATGTTTAATAGCTGTTCTCCTAATAGAAGCATTTGAAGGATGCTGCCACATTCGATCGATAATTTAGTTAATCAACTAAAGACAAGCGTTACAGCAGCCGATGGCGAGAAAGAGAACGCACTTGGCTGCCGCCATTGTCCAACGATGAGGAGTTGGCGCTTGGCCATGGCAAGAAAAGCGTTTACACAATGGCCCTTTGTTTACACAACTCCGGCTGCATCACGCTGATGGTACTAGCCTCAGTCGTCCTCAGCAGGTGTTTCCTGGGCATTCAGGGGTACTTGTTAGGCACAGTGAATGAGTTAACTGGTCGGATTTCGTGTCCACTTTGGAACAAGTGCTTCATGATTGCACAATTAAATCCTCCAACTATGCCCCTTCTTAGCGGCCACGGGCAGTGCTCAGCGATTCGTTTTGACAAGCGCCTGGTTGTATGTCTAATGTACCTTGCAGCGCAGGTGCATCTCTTTGACTCGGCCATTGCACGATCTGTCGTGATTCGAAGAATTCGCCTCAGGAAAAGGACTACGGGATTCGACCTAACGCTCCCGGGTCTTTGCACTTTTCCTTTCCTCCTTCTTTTGGGCTATGAATGATAACCCTGGACATCCTACTTTTATTAGATAGACCAGTGTGTTTCATATATCATTCTGATCGGCGCAGATTTACGCAACTTACTAGGTCATTCCAGCCAAATATTCATAGTCAGTAGATAGTGTTAGGTTGATATCAGCTAGTTTTCCGTTTTCTTTCTCGTCCCAGTCCCGTTACTCATCTTATAGGGTCTATACAACTTACAGATAATTCGTTTACTTTGTAAATTGCTTTTTACAATGTTAACTCTGGATTTGTTTTTCTCCTTCCACTTGGTCGATTCTCTCGTTCTTTCCTTTTATAAGCTCATAAGCATTTAGTTGCCGGTTAACAATCGAGATGGCTTTACTGAGTGTGCTTGAGGATGTGGTGAAAATCGAAAATGAACGCCGTGAATGATTTATGTAAAAAAAAACGCTTCAGCCGTATCACTGTATCATCTTCAATCATTGACATTTTTGTACGCATCAGCATGTTAGGAAGATCATATCCACTCGTGGATAAGGTTTGTCGGAAGCACGACAAATAAATGTTACAAAATTTACTGAGACGTAGTCTATCGTTTTTAGTGGCTATCAGGGGCCACTAACTGCTGGACGATGCACGTGACTCGCGGGTGAATACGTGTGTAACCAAACGGACGATGAGTATTACTCTTGTGTACACATTACAGTCGTGTGCTTTTATGCGCCGAGTTCTTTCACTGTGCATCAACGTTACCGTCACATGTGTAATCGCACGGTTGCTCCCGCATGAAGTTGCTCCGATGTTCACCCAAATGCGTGAAAGTAACGAGCATGTGAGTGTGGCGAAAACGCTTCATGCGAAATCGGCCAATTCGGCTTCCCCACTAGATTCCGGAGGTACAAAACAGCTCGTTGTGTAACTGGAGATCATCAGCTAAGAGTAGTAGGGTGTCGGAACAATCCTTGCCAAATCGTCAGCCGCAGAAAGTGGGATGATCACTGAGTGTTGACGCAGTGGACCGTTTATCTGTTAAACAATTCGAATGTACCAATCCATAGATCGGATTATTGGAAGGGCGATACTAGCCATGATGACGGCAATTTTTCCATGCGACGCCTGCTATCACAGTCAGATTATGAGTAGTGCTGATGGTACCGCCCATGGCTCCTCTCGCTAGCGTCCGCACGTATCCATGAGTAAATGATGTCCACGTGACAACCTTACAAATTTACGACAAAACCCATAGGTTATCTTTGTGGCACTTGACAATGTGACTACTGATGGACTGGCCCCGGTAGCCAGTTATTGGAATCAACAGAAGACCGGCGCACACGCATCGGATATAGACCAGTATTGGTCGAACTGCGGCGCATTGGTAGTGATGTCTTAACTAGAATATCACAGATTGTGACAATTGCCGTGTGACTTATTCTCCCGGGCAAAGATCAGCAACCTATTGGGATCAATACTTGGAGAGGTGTTATGAGTACTGCTATTCACAGCGCGCCAGTATTGAAAATCCGTAGACTTAGGTGCCATCAGATTCAAAAACACGTGTTCGCACAGTTAGACATAGATCCACTGCACTAGTGACGGACGACATGTGAAGAATCGGGTGCAAGCCAGGAAGGCAGTATACATGTGTGTTAGATGAACAAACCCTCTCTAATCATTTCGAAGGAGTACAACCAGGTGGTCTTAAAAGTCACATATTAAACATGCCTTCAGCTCAAACCTACGTGGGTGAATTCTTATCATCAACCAGTGCTATGACCGACGAGTTAGCAGTCGGTCATGCAGGTAATTCCATCTTGGCCCTCAATACTCCATTTCAACTTTATTTATTTTGAACACTTACCACTTGTTATTGGAACTACTAAGGTATTAGTAAGCTGGACATATACGTCTTGTTTAGCATGCGCTCAGCCTCAACTGGACTTTCCCTTTAGCTGAAACCTTAGGATCTTCGGACGTCTTGCCAAGTTTGTGATCCTAATTCTCCTTAGTAGTCCTGCACACGCATCTTGAACCATTTGCATTGGAGTTTGTCATTATGTCAGTTGTCCAATCCTGATGTGAGTGGCGCTATCACATCTAGTTACTTAGTCATGACGGTCGCTGACGTCCCCCGTAGCTCAGTGGTCTCAACCACAGACCGGCAACAGTCGATTTGTGGGTTCGAGCTCTACAAGGGTCAGATGGAATACGCACTGCTGACGATTCCCGAAAGAATGAAAGAAGTGTACAGTGTTTTTCCGGCATGTGATGGCTGTCTGTTTGAGTCTAGATATGATGGGGTTCTTCCAATAACAATGTTGTTTGTGGACAGATTTCCCGATGATGTAGACAGTTTCCGATGCTGTTTACTTAGTTTCCCTCATGACTAAAGAATACTTTCCTAATATTCCTTTTAGTGCTGGCTAAAAGGTTGTTGCCATCTAGCCGTTCCTGCCTTTCCCTGTTACACTTTCAGATTTACAACACCACACTGTCTTCCCTTGATAGCTTACTGAATATCAATCAAAAGCCTCTCCTAGTTTCAAATGCTATAGATATAGCGTCTATGAGAGGACGTCATCACCTTGCAGGCTAACCACTGTCAGTGACAGTGGTAGATAAGTGGTGCTATATCCCAGCTAGTTTGCAAATAATGTAGCCCAGCCAACGTCCCCCATGGCTCAGTGGCTTAAGCTGCTTGCTAGTTGGCATCTGCCTCTAGCGGTCATGGGTTCGATCATCCTTAGAGGACCGAGGGAATGCGCGCCACTG